TTTAAAATTGTAGTTAAAAGCGTATTCAAACATAAGCATCTTTTAAAATTGTAGTTAAATAAAATGTATCCTAACGAAACACCTCTATAATAAATGTACTACAAACACTTCAATGAATCCAATAAAACACCTACTGAAAAATGAAATTATAACAAAAGCTAGATGATGTAAGGTAATGTATGACCCATTGTTCTTTGTACATACATATGAAACTTTATTACTCAGGTTACATATATTAAAATAAATCAATTAATTAATTAATTAATACATAAAGTTTACTAAATCTGTGAAATGACTTAGATAGTTTTGTAGTCTGTGCCATTTATATTACTTAAATAATATTTAAATATAATAGTTTTAAAAAAATTGTAATTTACATATAGTTTGATATGGAAAAATAATTTTACTTACAATGAGTAATTATCCTTCTGTTATAAAGTAATATATTCTATTAAAACTAACAATGATAATATTTTAAAATGGTAATTTTAAAATTGTAATTAAAATTTTAGTTAAATAAAATGAATTTTAACCTGTTCTTTGTACATACATATGAAACTTTATTACTTAGGTTACATATATTTAAAATAAATAAATAAATTAATTAATAAATAAAGATTATTAAATCTGAGAAATGACTTAGCTAGTTTTGTAGTAAGTTCCATTAATATTACTTAAATAATATTTAAATATAAAAGTTTAAAAATTGTAATTTACATATACTTGGATATTGAAAAATAATTTTACTTACTATGAGTAATTTTCCTTCTGTTATAAAGTAATATAGTCTATTAAAACTAACAATGAAAATATTTTAAAAGTTTAAAGTTTGTAATTTTAAAATTGAAATTAAAATTATAGTTAAATTGAATGAATTCTAACCTAAATTTCTTTTAAATAATACTACAAGCACTAAAAAGAATAAAAAAAAAAACACCTATAGTAAAATAAAATTAATATGAAATGCCATAAGATGTAAGCTTTTGAATGACCCATGTCCTTTGTACTTACATGAGAAACATTATATTACTAGGTTTATATATAAAGTAAAAGTTTACTAAATCAGTGAAATTAAGTTACCATTTTTGCCGTCATAGTCATCATAAATTTAAAAAAAAAAAAAATGTAACCTCATATACATACTTAAACTTGAATTAATACATAAAGTTTACTAAATCTGAGAAATGACTTAGTTTTGTAGTCTCTGCCATTAATTTTTCTTAAATAATATCTAAATATAAAAGTTTAAAAATTGTAATTTACATATACTTTGATATGGAAAAATAATTTTACTTACTATGAGTAATTTTCCTTCTGTTATAAAGTAATATAGTCTATTAAAACTAAACAATGAAAATATTTTAAAATTTTAAAGTTGTAATTCTGAAATTGTAATTAAAATTGTAGTTAAATTGAATGAATTCTAACCTAAATTTCTTTTAAATAATACTACAAGCACTAAAAAGAATCCAAATAAAAAAAAAAACACCTATAGTAAAATAAAACTAATATGAAATGCCATAAGATGTAAGCTTTTGAATGACCCATGTCCTTTGTACTTACATGAGAAACATTATATTACTAGGTTTATATATAAAGTAAAAGTTTACTAAATCAGTGAAATTAAGTTACCATTTTTGCCGAAAAAAAAACCCCGAAAATCTTTAAATTTAAAAAATGACGTTGAAATTTTTTTACCGTCAACAATTTTTAAAAAAAACATTCAGACGACATCCATTCAACTGATGTCAGGTTTCATTGTAAAATACATCCCTACCCCTTACCAAATTGTAGCTAATAACTGATACAATGATACTGACATAAGGAAAATCTAGACATCCCTTGTTCAATTTAAGTAGAATATTCTGTAACCATGGAAACGTGATTTTAGCTGTGTCTTTAAAACCGGTAATTTTAAAAGTTACTCAAAATTTGCTTGAAGATGAAATGGAACTAATGCTTTTAATTTAATTGCAAAAATTAAATTCGGGGTTTTTAGCTTCTATTTTGAAACATGGTTGGAACTGTGTAGCGAAAAAAAAAACATATTTTAAATCAATTAATTTATAATATATATATATATATATATATATATATATATATATATATATATATATATATATATATATATATATATATATATATATATATGTGTGTGTGTGTGAAGTTCTTGACTTCATCACGAGTCCTTCATACATTAAAAAAAAAGAAGAAATAACCCAAAAACATAAATATATCTACCTGATGTTTGGTCAGTTATTTGAAAGTAGATTCATGACAATGTTTCAATAGCCACACACAAGCATTTTACATGAGATGTAAGTACAGTATTTACATTAGTCGGACTATTGTCCTCATCTTTGTTGCCATATTTGTCACAGCGTTTGAACCTTTATGCGCTCCGGCCCTTCTTCAGGTGGTTGGAATTTCTAATAACTGAACCCCTTTGACAAATCCAACCACCTGAAAGATGAGGACAATAGTCCGACTAATGTATGCACTGTACATAATCCCTATATATTCATCTCAGAAATATAGACAGACTCGGGATGTAAGTAATTTATCTATTTTTACATGACTAACATTTCCATGCTGAGTTTCCAACTTTAGGATGAATAGAATCTAGTTGAACATTTCTGCTTGTAGTTTTCTGGACCTGTTTACTACAATGATTAAAAGAAATAGTTTCTGTTTTATTTTAATTTACCTTTTTTTTTTTTAATTATTGAATTGACTCTACCCATTTTGAATTTGTCTCACATTTTGCTTATTTTTGGATTAATTTAAAATTAAATGACATGATATGAGGAATGGGACTTATATGGTTGTTTCCTTCCTTTCATTAGTGGCTGTTTAAAGACAAAAGTATTTGACGGACAAATGAAATCAAATTAAGAATGCTTACTCTATACATTATTCCCTAAAAACAAGCAAAAAAACATGCATAACACATAGGTCAAATGTTTGAGGTCCACCATCGCCATCAGGATTTAATAATTACTAAATTTTATATCATCTTTCATTTAATTAACTTCTACTTATCTCAGATATTGAAACTAACTCATTTGTGTATGGTGTTTATTTTTATTTATTTATTTATTTTTTTTTTTTTTTAAGGGAGGGAGTTACCTAAAATTTAAAAGCTGCCAGTGCTAACATTGCTATTAACCACCAAGGCAATTAGACAAAAAGAGCTAAAATTTTAAGGAAATTTATGCACTAATTGGTTAATTTTGTTATTATTGAATATATGATAGAAGAGAATGTCCTGAAATGACAGTAAATTAGTTTTGAAAAACCTTCAGTTTCTGGTGATAAATAGAGGGTGACCCACAAGGTGTGCGTGTGCGTGCGCAAATGTACATATGGGGGGGCTGTAAGTAAGCATACATTATTATAATAGTCGTTCTAGCATTCATGTTTTTTTTTTTTTAGTATATATATATATATATATATATATATATATATATATATATTTTATTTCCACTGACTGAAAGACTCAGACCCATACCATTTCTACCATTTATCATAACTTTCTTTTCATAAGAAATTAATGTTTGCCTGTGTCACTGTTTTTATTATTTATTTTTCATATTTCACTGGCATGAAAATAAATTTCAAAGAAAGCTTTTCTTTTTCAAGCTGAGGAAACTTCATCATCACAATGCTGATACTAAAATAAAGAAATTGAATATTCACTCCTGGAAATGTGACAAGGGATGTTGTGGTGCATGATATACAGAGTCCATCTGAAATAGAAAATTATATTATGTCAGGGTTACAAGACTTTCGGACCACCCTGTACATGTCATGTGTAAAAGAAAAAAAGAGATTTTTTTTTTTTTTTTTTTTTTTTTAATCATTTCACCCCAAGCAAGGCAATAAAGCCACTATGACACAAGTCATTGCTGTGTGTTAGAGAATATGAGAAAAACTACTATTAAGAAGAGGACAATAAAAGAACAAGGATTAAGAAGTTAACAATTGTCATTGCATGTAAATTTTTGAAGATCATGGTTGACTGGAGAGGAGGAGGAGGTTGGCAGAGAATTACACAGGCGAGAAGTGTGATATGATAGAGAAGAAACTGTTAGTATAGAATTTATGGTTACGTTTGGACAATTCAACTGTAAATTGATGAGACCTTGCTATCAATCTAGTACTGTGCTTAAATTCACGAAGTCTGTGTACTGTAGCTGAAAGTATTTCTAGAAAAGACACAAGGAGACAAGTTTACTGCAGTGGGAAAGGGATTAGAGTTGAGATGACAGTGCAGGACCAATAACATTGCAGATTCTCCTTTGGATTTTATCAAGAATTTCTAAATAGATAATAGGAGCACCAGATGTAAGAAATATTCAAAGCAAAGATAAATGGTAGATTTATAAATATGTAAGATAGATTCTGGCGAGAAAAATTGTCTAGCTTGACATAGTGATTCAACTTTTTTAGCTACAGACTTAGTAATTGATTCAATATGCTTTCTACCCCCCCCCAACACCACTTCATGTTAGCTGAAAACATTAGTTCAAGTAAGTGCAATGAGTTAGTCTTGGAGGTTAGCATCAGCCATACTCATGGAAGGTGAAATGGATTCACTCAGATGATTAAGAGAGATCAGTTTTGTTTTAAAATTAATAGATTGTAGGTCATTTTTTGAGCTGCCAATTTGACCTTGTCGAACCGATCAGACTTAGTATTAAGACATGAGTAGATTGTTTTCATCGGCATCGATACAGATATCAAGAAGGGTCAGTGATGAAAATTATAAACACAGTCCAAGAATAGAGCTCTTTTGGATGTGTCTCTTTGGAGTTCCTAAATAACGAGTGATTCTGCAATGATGTCTGCTGTATCAACTTGACTACCGTTTACCAAGCACATGGTCCTGGAGGCAGACGATGACGACTTGAATAAAACTGTCGACTAAAGCGAATAAACCTGAGTAAAATAGTGATGAAATCACATCCCAATATTTTGGGCTTCATTGAACAATCGGCTTACGGTCACATCACCTTGGAACGCCGCTTCTCGTACGATTACCAAAGTTAAGCAACTTTAAGCCTGGTCAGTACCTAGATGGATGACTACTTAGGAATACCAGGTACTGTAAGCTTGGATGTGCGGGTGGTGTCATGGATAACGCATTGGAATTGGAAATCAGAGCTGAGTTCCAGTCTGTTTCGTTATATTTATTTACGCGCAAATACTCTTAGGAATGGTATGAAGCTACCTATTTTCTCTCTAGCTATGGGTTAATTAGTAGGACTTGTATCAGAAAATCATTATTATCTCCCAAAAATCCTTACAATCTAAAAATATTGTCTGTCTTTAAATAACCTGCAAACAGTTGATAAACTGTAAAAACACAAACAACAAAACTACTTTATATACCGTTAATTGTAATTACGTTGAATATAATTTCTTATTGAAGTTGAATCAAGCACACTAATAGGCAAGGTTATCTTTAAATTATTAGTTCTTATTAGGTTTTCTTTTCATCCAGCGAAAGGACACAGGTGTGTCTGAAAGTTCCGATTATATGTATGTATGTGTGTGTGTGTGTGTGTGTGTGTGTGTGTGTGGGGTGTGTGTGTGTGTGGAGAGAAAAAGAAACAAACAAAAATAAAGAAGTAGTATTATGTCCGATTTACAGTCAGATGGTAACCGATGTCTGGTTTACACGAGAGACAAAAAGGTATAAATAAGCCTAATTGGCTAAAATAGTGATGCAATCTCATCACAATATTTTGACAAGAACACACACGGGCATCATTAAATAATCGAATCATCGTAACTGAAATACTGTTACTTTGTAGAGGGACGTGTAGGCTTGAGTGTTGTTGAATTAGGAGCACGTGCGTTTATTTTCTGCTAGAAAGGTCCAACTATAAGAACATGGCGGACTTAATTTGTCCAACCGAGATATATATATATATATATATATATATATATATATATATATATATATATATATATATATATATATATATATGTGTGTGTGTGTATTAAACAACACAATTTTACAATGGACATTTGAACATTTACGTAATCATTTGTGTTTGTTCTTTGATGAATGTTCGCACGTACGTGAATGTGTGTATAATGTTCATGGCGTCTTCTCAGAAGTGGGAAACGCAATCTTTTGCGAGAGCTCACATTGTAGAGGTGTTTGCTGAAATGAAATAGAGAGCGAAGCAAGAAGTTGCCCAGTATTTATGGCGTAGGGAGAGAGACCCCTAGCGAACAATTAGGAAATTAAGGAGGAGCTAACTCCGACAACTTCTTTATCTATCGTTAATTGTAATTAGGTTGAATATAATTGCTTATTGAAGGTGAATATAACACACAAATAAGTGAGGTTATTTTATTTAAATTATTAGTCATTATTAGGTTTTCTTTGCATTCATCCCATACCACCGTAATTAACAGCACTTTACGTACGTTTATTAATTCCATTTAGTCAACTGTTTCGTTCAAGTTGTCTTCCGTCAGGAGCGTGGGCCCGGGAAACGGTAGTGAAGCCCTACTCCCAATAAAATTTTATCCTTGTCCCCATGAAACAGAAACATTTTTCACTATTTACATTATTCGGACTATTGTCTTCATCTTTGTCTCCATATTTATTACAACGTTTCGGCCGTTGGATCTAACTGTGCCATGTGTAGTGGATAAAGTCGTTAGTTAGATCCAGTGACAGGACCCAAAGAGTGTGAGTTCAATACCCGGCTAAGGCAGTGGAGAACTTTCAGAGGGAAATTAACAGGAGATAATTGATAACATTAAGCATGGCACGTGCCACTAGAACAGTCTACCCCAGTGAGCGAAATAAAGGGTTCAGTTCGACATTCCAACCACTTGAAGAAGGCTGGAGCGTACAACGGCCAAAACGTTGTAATAAATATCGCGGCAAAGATGAGGACAATAGTCCGAATAATGTAAATAGTGTACATAATACCTCATCTCAGAAATATAGACAGATACAGAAACATTTTTATAAAATGATCCTCATGAAGCAAACATCGTGTTCCAACAAAAATTTAAAAAACAAAATAAATTTTTTCTTCTATAAATCCTATATTTGACTTCAAATTTTTTCGTTACTTGTCGGTCAATCACTTTATCAGTGGCTTTATCACATTGCGATTTCCATTGACAGACATCCACAGGTGAGATAAATATGAAAGTCTAATTAATTAAAGACAACAGAATCAGCCCCTTTCTTGCTCTTCTAAAACTGCAACGACAGACCAGAAACAGTTTATATTTAATTTAAAGCCCGACTCAAGATATTTTAATTCAATTTTGATAGTAATGAATTTTTCTTTTTTACTCTCACTTAGAATTACATGTTTTGATTAATTCCCATTCTGTCTATCTTTACAATCCTGTTAATACTTCTTTAGCCTCCGACAAGTAGGACTAAAATGTAATAATGCGCTTAAGTCCTCTCTTTAAAAAGGCGGTTACGGTTAATCCTTGCTGCTCCCATGTGGGGAA